GGCATCCACACATAGTGACAGGGGAAAACACATGTTATCAGGCTCAATGAGGGTAGGGAACTGGGAGCGAACAGAACCAATGACCCTAACAGATAAACCATCAGGGCGGGTAATGCTCGACTAAGGGGTGACCGCTATGGAGGGTCGACCATGCAAGGAAACAAGGGAGCCTGGTATACTGGGCGCACCTAGATGAAGCATGCGGGGCTGCCTAACTAGGGCGTGAGGGCCGGCGAAGGGTAGAAAGATTATGGGTAAGGGAATCATGCAAATGACTTCTAAGGTGAGGGAAGTCGGAGCTAGATCCATAAGATGGGAAGCCAGGGCAACGCTACGGTCCCGATGCCTATGCGTATACCAAGGGAGAGCCCAACTCAGAGGAACCCGGCTTAAGGGAGACCATCATGCGACACAAGCAAGGTACTGTACAGGGTAGAGTGGTAAGAGAGTGGCGACGTCTGAAGCAGGCAAAGCTGATCGTGATGAAGTCCATGAAGCTGCCGATGACGTCCTCGATGAGAAATTCGGAATGCTGTCGAGGAAGAGTTGCAACGTCGACGAGCTAAAGTAGCAAAACTGATGTGGATGGAGTACTGAGAAGTCAAAGACGTGGGAAGGTAAGTCAGAGTGAATCGTCGTATCGAGCAGGACGACGACGAGTGCGCTGTGGACGCTCAGAAGCATCCGGCTGCTGCTGAAGGTCTGCCTCAGATGGAGCAGGCTCAACTTCAGCGGTCTCCTCAGCCGGAGGAGAAGGAGGAGGGTCAGTGGGCTKAGGAGGAGCAGTGAACCCAGCACGACGAGCACGGTCATAGGCACGCAYCAACATGCGAGCGTGCTGCAAGTGCTCGAGGGGCTCCCAGGTRGCCTCCTCATCAGGATAACCCTTCCAACGTACGAGATACTCGACGTGGGGAGGGTTGTCRTCGGTGACTCGGCGACCAATGATGTCTGAAACGAGGAAATCCTCGTGGTCGTCCACCATGATGGGTGGAGGGCGCTCGTATGGTCGTCCAGCGAAACGCTCAGACGGTCTGCGGTAAGGACGCAGTAACGAAGCGTGGTAGACATCATGCACACGAGCCTGGCGTGGGTAGTCGAGCAGCTTCACACGAAAGCTGACCGGGCTAGATGCCGTATCAGAACCGACGGCCTGGAGGATGCGGCATGGGCCAAAGAAGCGACGCCGAAACTTGCGAAGCGTGTCCGCTTCGAGCTGTAAGTGGCGGGCGTCGATAAGCACATCATCACCGATTTTGAATGGATGATCCATCCTCGATCGGTTCGCACGTGCTGCCATGCGAGTCTGAGACGCGGCTATGTGCTCGTGTGCGGTCTTCATGATCGACGTCATGTGTGCCACCCAATCGTCCAGCGCGGGACAACTCGTGTCGGGGTGCAGCTGGGATGGTCGAAGGAAGTCCGCGGGAACACGAGGGTGATAGCCGAGGTCGCAATAGTAAGGCGACATCCCCGTGGCTGGCGAGACGGCGTGGTTGTAGGTTATCTCCGCGTGGGCAAGATGGAGATCCCATTGTTGGTCGTCACGAACAATCTTTCGGAGAATATCTCCGAGAGTCGTGTTCGTGATCTCGGTCTGACCATCAGTCTGAGGATGGTATGACGAGGAGAAGCGGAGCTGAGTGCCGTACACCTCGTGGAATCGTTGCCAGAATCGGCTGGTAAAGCGCGAGTCACGGTCAGATATGATGCTCAGAGGTAAGTCGTGGTCACGCACGACTCGGACAAACACGATGTCGGCGATCTCACGTGCACTGATGGCATAGCGGCTCGGAACAAAGCGTGCACGCTCCGTGAAGTGATCGACGACGACTAGGATACCATTATGACCGCGAGGGGTCGGAGGACGAAGAGGACCGATAAAGTCCATCGAGATGGACTGCCAACGACCCTCAGGGATAGGAAGAGGCTGGAGCAAACCATAAGGCAGGTGGTTCGCACTGTTCACCTCTTGACAGGTGGGACACTCTGCAACGTAGTCCTTAACAAAGTCCTTGCACTTCGGCCAGACGTACAGGCGGCTCACACGAGCCAATGTCTTGTGGAAGCCCATATGACCGGCAGCTGCCTGGTCATGGAACTCTGCTACTGCTCGGACACGTAGCTGTCCAGTGGAGGGAACGCAAATACGGGGCTCTCTGGTGCCTTGTGAACCGTGCCAGTACACAAGACCGTTGTCCCCGAGAGAGTAGTTCGGGACGGTCTTGCCACTCCAAAGGGTCGCGTAGATGTCGCGATAGTCGGGGCAGTGGCGGTACTGAGTGCGAAACTTGTCGGTCACCGAGTGGTGGACGGTGGTGACCGAGATGGAAGAGAGCTGGATGTGCTCCTGATCGTGGTCAGGGCGTCGGGTGAGGGCATCTGCGACCCGATTAGTCTCACCCTTGATGTGCTCAGTGGTGAAACTAAACTCGGATAGGTCGCGCCACCAGCGAGCCTGTCGAGGAGTGAGCTTCGGCTTTGTCA